ACATCCAATGGATTTAGTGTAAAGATTTAGTATTTGTTTTTTTATTCTATATTGGCTAGATGCATAGAAGGAGGGTTTAGATCTCACGAAACACGTTTAACCCCGTCGCATCTTTTCGCATGTCTGGTCTTTGTTAGTCTTGTATGGTTTTTTTAATTTTAGTTCATTTATATGTTTTTAAGTTTAATGTGACGTCCATTTTCACTGAACTAGTACACATTTTGTTTAAGGGCCAGCTGAAGACCACCGGTGTGGGATCTTCTCGCGGTGTTGAAGACCCATTGTTGGCCTTTGGCTGGTTTTTGTCCCTTGGACTGGTTGTTGTCTCTTTGGCATATTCCCCATTTTCTATTCCTAATTTTATAAATATGCATTTATATTTAGAAAAAAATATCAATACTGTTACCATTTAAAAAAAGTGATTCAATATCTTCAAGTGAATCGTCTCGAAATATATTCTTTGGGTTTATTATATATATCATTTATTGCAAAGCCAGGTGCTGTGTGTTTGGTGGATAATAACCAAGATACAATTTACAGTTACAACATTTTGTTTGGTTTATAGCTGAAATAAAGTTTACTGTATTTGCAATAAATATGCTAATCAAAAATCTATATTTGCAGTACAATTTAGAACGTGTAAGTGATTTATTGAACTTTTATGCAAGCGATACATTTGCCCTAAGCAAAATATTCAATTTATCACATTGTCCGTAAATACTTCATGTTATCCATAAATTAAAGCAGAACTTGTAAAAAATTATTTACACCAAGGTTTCAATTCATACAAAAACTGATCTTTTATGGACTGAAAGACGAATAATTTGATTCCGTCATATGTATCCAATTTGTATGAAAACAACCCGCAATTATAGAAATAAAAGATAATCCTACCTTACTAACCAAGATCAATCAACACTGTATATTTTTTACAATTTTATACACATGGCTTGTTCACCTCTTGCAAACCAAATGTTTTTTTTTTCTAAATAATTTTTTTTACTAATTTGAAGACATTTGATGTTGTAAATATGAATATATTTACAGAAACATTTTATGAATTGTCATTTTATGATTCACATGAATAATACGTATTCAAATTTGATGAATTTTGATTCAATTATGATTTATTTATGTAAATTTCAGCTATAAGATGTACAATTGTACGGATAAGCTTTAAACTCACTAAATAATTTCTGTCGAATAGTTTTTATGTTGAGTTCATAGTTTTTTACTTTCAGATTCACAATTTATTTTACATATACATTTTATGACCTTCGAACAGAATGAATTCAATTATTGAAGAAAAGGGTACTTAAAGTGTTTAAAACATGAAAATACTTTGTGCGGCCATGGAATTTTACGAAACTTGCACAGAAGCTTCTTCGTGATCAAAATAAGCATTACATTTCGTATTAAGATCAAATTAACAAAATACAATATCCATCTTTGGCCGTATTTTACTGATAAACAGACTTTGAGGTTCATATGTACAGTCAGAGGTTTATTTAGCATTTTGAGAAATCAACATCTCGCTGAATTTAATTCTACGAATGTTCTAAAATTTAAGACATTATGATCAAGAGTAAGCAACTGCTGTAAAATATTCGGTTTTACAAACTCGCCAGCTACTGAACAACGCAAACACAGGAATTCCTCAAAGACTACCATGTGGAATTCTGTTATATCTTCCTTGAGGATGTCATCATTTTGCCAACCCCTATGGAGAAGCTCTCGAGAGACTGCATGGAATTAGTATTTGACAGAATCCGGGAAGCCAATCTGAAGGTGTCACCTTTGAAATTCTCCTTCTTTATACTACTAGTAAGTCAAGCAGGTTGGCCACATAGTATCTAACGATTGTATAGAAACAGACCCGGAGAAAATAAAGAAAGTGATGTTTTGGCATAATCCAAATACACCGGAGGAAGTTTAACGGTTTATAGGATTGCTGGTTACTACTGTATATTTATCAGGAACTCCAACCAGACAGCTCGACCATTGACTGGCACAAATGCTAAAATCAGTAAAGAAGAAAAGTGAGAACAACACCCTTGGATTTGAAACAATGAAGAAACAGCAGATAAAGCATAGTTTAGCGTCCTGTTATGTCTTATCTAGATTACCATAGACCATTTGAGGTACAGACAGATGTCAATGGTTTAGGTTTATGAGTTGTGTTGTATCAAGAACAAGAAGACAAACTCAGATTTATTGCATATGCCAGCAGAGGATTGACCAAAGCTGAAAAACTATCCTGCTCACAAGATGGAATTCTTCGATTTGAAACGGGCAATTACAAATACGTTCCACTACTATTTGTATGCACATCGATTTCATGCGATAAGAGATAATAACCCTCTGACTAATGTATTCACAAAGCTTGATGCAACAGGCCATAGATGGTTATCAGCACTTGCGGCATATTATTTTGACATAGCACGGAGGCCGGATAAGATAAACAACGATGCTGATGCTCTTTCCAGATTATCATTCCGGGGGAAAGGGGGGGGGGGGTGGGGGTACGTCAATACTTAATTGATAGTAAGTGCCGCTGGAGTTATATTACCCCACCCTTTTCATATAATTTCGATTTTAAAAATGTATACCTTTTCATATATTGCGTAGGTAAAAATGTAACCTTTTCCCATATTGTTTGGGTTTCATGTGGTGTGTAATGGTCTGTAATGTAAGAGTGGAATACCAAAGTGCCAAAAGAGAAAAATTGGTGAATAAAAACAGCCGGGAACACCAAGAAAGATGACAGACGAAGAAGTTATGAGAACTGTATTGACCTAATCATATATTTCTGATAGTTTTCCCCGACCTATTCACATATTTTCAAGCTTGAAAAGGTGAACTATTCCAGCGGCACGTCCTATCACCTTGTATATAGTAAGTCCCCCCCCCCCCCCCCCCGAGGATTATCATCAGCACAGATTGACTTTGTGGAGTCAGAATCTTAACCAAGTAATGGACAGTTACCACCAAATTATCTGAATCGACATTTTGGGCAAGTAAGTTGCAAGCCAACATACTATACATGGAGATGAGCATCGATGGAAAGAATGTTAGAAAGTTAGTCTTGCCATCCATACATGTACATCCTGTAGTATTGAAAGCAGTGCACAATGTGATGAGTTATTCATGAAAAGATAGGGAAACAGCTAAGTCCGGAATAGATTTAACTGGCCAGCCACGTCTAAGGATATTGGTGAAGGATCAACCACTGCGACAGATGTCTCAAAAGAAAGAAGGACCCACATAGAGCTCCATGTCATCACCACAGCCTAAAGAGTTGACATGTTTAGACTTTGTGAATTTAGGACCATATAATGGAGGCAAACATAATCTCATTGTACTTACTACCCAAGGAACACGCTATGCTCAAGGTGTAACAATGAATCAGAACGCCCGAATAACGGCAGGAACTCTGTTTAACAGCTTTTCCGTGCATTATTGAATTCCACAGATATTGCACTCAGACCAAGGAGCCAATTCGACAGCAAGTTAACTCAGGAACTCTGTTAGCTTCTTTAAGTACAGAAATCAAGCACAACACCTTATCACCTCATGTTCAACGGGACTTTACTTTGCATGTTAGGAGCACCTAACAGCCACACCAAAAGATAAACTTGAAGACTCATGTAGACTCATGTTACCCCAATTGTATGTGATTTAAATTGTACCCGCCATGAAGCCATAAGTCATTTTTGACTGAAACTATTGCAAGTAGAGATGATTACGATGTTTAGAGCACCGTTGAAAGCGGTACAGGGAATCAACAAGATGAAGCGGAGATACAACGAGAACCAGTTGTGGTACCATTACCTCCAGTGCCTGTGCCTAAACGTTATACACGTATTCGTCATGAACCAAAGTTGATGCGCTCAGGTGAGTTTGCTTACAAGATTGCTGTTCCTATACAGCAACAATGAGACCAAAAGGCTAGGTTTATATCTGATTGTTTGCGACTTTGTTATTTGTAGGATTAGACAGACAAGCCGGTAAGGCACTACTTGCAGTCAGTACTAATGATAAGTATTCTATTGTATTTATTTCTGAAATAATTGACATGTCTTTATTAAAGATAACTAATATTTGATTACAAATCATATGATGATATACAAAACTCATTTTAAAGTTTTATATTTAGTGTATAATAATACAACTGTACACATAATTTTGAGAATTGTTATTTATTTCCTCTGTAATACATTTGTATAAATAATTACATTCAATAATCTTTTGTGGATTAAAAAGTTTAGAAACTGAAAAATAATTATGATGCGAATCTTTCAAATAAAAACGATAAGATTAGATTTGTTTTGCCTCATATCTTTATATTAATGACAAGGCATCATCAACTGCTCTTCTGTATCTACTTCAGTGCAGAATTTGGAAAACTTTCTTCTTTGGAATTTTTGGATTTAATATGTACCCCGCTATATATGTGAACAATAAGCACTGATACGTAGTTATGATATTTAACATTTTATATTTTAGAGAAGATTGGTTTCAAGATAGAAGAGACCAAAATGTTACTAAAATGCACACTGTTAAATACATTGTGTAAGAACATCAAAATGCTATTCACTATATAAAAGTGACTGTGGGCATTTTGTTTTAGTTATTATAAAATTAATTTCCAAGAAGTGCTTTGTAACCGCTGAGATAAATTTTACTGTTCTTTGCCTTCTTTATAACTGTCCTCGCGAATATGTTAGCTATTTCGTTCTTTGTGCGAAACGTGCTAATCATTAAAGTGTCCTATTTGGAAGGGTGCTTATTTGTCGTTACACGTTTGTCTACTCAACGTTAATAGTTGTTTTATAAAGCAATTGTCGGAAATCAACAAATGATTGGAGTTCCGTTTCAAGTAAGCAAACGGAAAAAGTAAAGGAATTAAACTAGGCTTGTTTTTCCGAACGGGAAACATAATGTTGATCGAATTAATGTCAACCGATTAGTCATTTGTCGTATTTAAAAACAACAATAAAATGCAGAATATCCAATTTCATTCTGATCAAACAGTCAACAACATGTACAGATACCTATGGTGTCTGTTGACTATTATATCTGTAAATAATTATGTTTTTGCAATACCTACAGGTAAGAACCATTTTTATCACATTATTTTCTTGTATTTCTTATTCAAAATAGAATAAAATTCAACAGAACAGATGATGACAATATGTTTTAATTAGTTTTTAGGATAGCGATATCTTCAGCAGATTTAAGAATAAATGATATAAAATATTCAATGCGAAACTCTCTTTATAATTATAAAAATACATGCAGCATTCGAAGGCTTTCAGCCAATATTTAAATTTTCCCCTGAAATTAGCATTTTGCATTCGAATCGATAATGATTAATAGCGTTTATTATACTAAAATCTTACTTTATGTATATATAAAATTTGGCTAAAATGAGGGGATCAGATAACACATTTCAATTTATCTTTTGGAAAATGCTTACATAAGAAAGTAATAAAACAAACAGCATGTTACACAGTAAAAATACTTCGTAATAAGCTAAATTGTACGAACTGTGTTTGAAAAATGTGTTTGAAAATCAAGCAACGACTTTGTATTGCCTTTGTACAAAATTACAACCTTGGACATTCATATAGTTGTATAATGAAAATGGTATTATGTTAACAGTTACAACTGATTCCCTTTTTTAACTATATACAATACATAGTAATTGACGTTTGAATGGTAGATTATAGAATTGTATAATCATGGTTTATAGACGAGTTGATTATTCACAGCTGTTAAATATTTAGAGATCAGGAAAACGTTTATATCGTCTTATCAAAACACTGACCCTCTTTTTGTATCAATTGGCAATTTAGCCATGGAAAGAAAATTCTTTATAACAAAAATCAGACAATTTCTAGAGTTATGCGGTTATGATCCTAAAAACTTTTCAGGTCATTCATTTAGAATAGGTGCTGGAACCGCAGCTGGTCAAGCTAACATAGAGGATCACATGAGTAAAACGTTAGTCGTTGGTCTTCAGATTGCTATGTGCGTTATATTCGCACCCAACCAACCCCTATAAAATATGCACAACAGCAGCTTGTTGAATCTATTTATCATTGATTATATTATAGTCAACTTCGAATTTATGGACAGGAGAACTGAATGGTTGCTTTATATGTATATTTTGTTTCTTGTATTTACCTTATTATTGTGTTATTCGTTGACTTATTGAAGGTGATCCCGGGGGATTACTCATTCTAAATACTTGGGGACTCATCTGATTTCTAATCACTATTTCGTCAGAGTTTCTTGGCACCTTTTCAAATATTTCACTTATCATTCATAATTTTCATTCATTTTCTAAGTATTTTTCATTTAACATCTCCAACCTCAACTCAACACCTTAAAACATTGTAGCCCACCGTCACGCGGGGGCTGGTCCACTGCCACGCATAGGCCGTCAGATGAAGCTTCGCTTTGTCATTCTTTTGTCAGTTGTGTTGTTCATGTTGAGCGTAGTGGCTTGTCAGCTGATGTACTTTCCACGAAAGAATCGCTTCCTGACAAAGTTCTGGAGCAAAATTATTACAGAGATACTGTATAGGATTATGCATCTTTTGTGCTGTATTTTAACAATTATGTACAAGCATGCTGCCTGTTTACACATAAATTATTTAGTTGAGAGATTTCCCAAGGCCAAACAATTTAATATGTTTTACATATTTAGTACAGAAAATACGTTGTCATTTTATTTAGTGTAATATTCATAATAAATATTTTACATTTACACCGTATTTGTTTAGTAGCAATGGTTCCGTGACAAAATTTATTATTGAATCTACAGTCTGCTGACACTACACTAAGATAACATTCACCAGACAGGAACCTTTAACAAATTTGACCTCAAGATTTGCAACAGATGTTAAAGTTTAAAGTAGTGACGCTTATGAGCATATCGACACAGAATAATTTCACAGTTTGATGTCCTGCGAAGATTCTCATACTAACTGATTGATTGATAATTGGAATAAAATAATTATTACAGAGACTGCAATGTCAAATTCCTCACAAATCATATTGTGCTATTACACGTGTATAGCAAACTGCATAACATGAGACTTGTGGTTTAATCGCCATTGAAATCAGCATCACAGTTTAAATACAACCTTTAATATTAAAGTTTACATGATTTCACTTCGACTATTGAATTATAATTAGATAAACAAGATTATCATGTGGAAAACTCGCGTCATTTTCACATATAAAGTTATCGATTGATTAATTGGATTGGATGCTTACATGGTTGATTGGTTGTTGGTGTAGATCCAGTGGCAAATATTTCATGCATATACACGACGGGAAAAACATAAAATATATTTTGAAACAGAATTTCAGTTTTACACAAACACACGCAGGAAAAACGAGTATATAAAGTCAGTGTATATGTCCTTTTAATGAAAGATACACTCCAGATGTAGATTGTGTTTTTTTTTATTAAGAACAATCTATTGGTTCATTATTATACGTTTCTCCTAAATCTAACATGTTTAGCCTCAAAGTTGCAATCAATCCTTTGTAATCATGTCTGTAAAATTGGACTCAATTAATATTTCTTCGATACTGAATAGCTCTAATCATGTATTTTCAATGCATTTCACACAGATGTCCATTTGTACCCCATAAAAATCAGAAAGATTGCAAGATGTGCTATTTTTGGTAATATATTTTTTTGCGTAATATTTTAAAACTTCGACGACCTAACATGTACATGTAAATGTTAGAGTGCATTTGTGTAATCATGGAATTTGTAAACTCCCTGAAATATCAGACCTTTTTTTTATAAAATTGCAGAACTGGCTATAGAAGTTATTAAATCCCTGATTTTGAATAGGAATTTTACAAAATCACTGAAATAATCTTAGATTTTATTTACAGATTGAAATAATAAAGATTTTATTTACAGATTGCAATAAATAAAATTTTATTTACAGATTGAAATAATTAAGATTATATTTACAGATTGAAATAATTAAGATTTTATTTACAGATTGAAATAATTAAGATTTTATTTACAGATTGAAATAGTTAAGATTTTATTTACAGATTATCTGATTTAATTCAGGGAAATTGTGAAATTAGCAATTTTTTAGTTTAAATAATGCATTGAAAAAGACTACATCATTAACAATGAAGCAGTTCCCAATAAATTTACGAGGTAAGAAGGTTTCAAAAAATTTAGGGAAAATGAAAAACTAATAAATGGAAAAAGTAAAAATATGAGGAAACTGAAAGAACCTCAGTACGACAAAACAACATCATATTACTTGACTGACCAATGTAATGACTTCCTGTGACAAGTATTAAAGACACATCAGGACAAAAACTTATAAATGTGTTGTGAATGGGAACCCTGTTTTGTGTAAGGCGGACAAGCGAAGCCGGAATATTTACGTTCTAGTTCACATGTTACCCTACCAATGCACATTATTGTGACTATAGATGTGAAAAATATCTTTTTATGTAGAAAAACAGCAATTATGTTACAGCAGATATCAAACAAACGTATTATGCAAAAATAAGTAAATTGTTTTCATCATTTCAGTACATATGTCTTTTATTCACTTTAACATATTGTAAACTTGTAATGTCTATTTATCAAATACATTTCAAAAACTAATAGTCTATCTATATTTAAAAAAGACATTTCTGATATCCATTTTCATGGAGCAAGGGAATGCTTTTAGGATTGTCTCGTCTCTTTAAACACAAAGTATGATAGTATAAGAAAAAATGAGGTTATCTATTTAGTTGAGTGGCATTAACAATAAAATATCATTTTAAATGCACCAACCTTGCATATGGCTGAATCATTTATCTTTCGAATGCATATCATCTGTAACATCTTTTTTGCCCGGTAGTCAAATATATCTACAGTACAATATCTGTCACGATGAACATAATTAAAGGTCAAGAACGGGCAATTTCTAATTCTACAAGACGTGTTTGCATATTCTGTTTTCTAAATAATAAGATTAAGTATGAAAATATGCAAAACCTTTAGAACAGAGACTATAAGTCAATTGTCCAACACACTTTAAAAAAAAATTTTATTTAAAAAAATTAATTTCAATTAAAATTTATTGGTGAAACTAAAAAGCTATTGCTTTTTGTATTTGTGAACTCGATGCTACAAGATGGGACAGGATATCGTCCTGACCGGAGAGTTTATTTATGCATAATGAATTAGCTCTAGTCTAACAGATGACAAAACATTGGATTTGTTCTTTATTGTGATTATTAGAAACATGAAAATGACACGAAGTATATTTTTTTTTTATTTCTATTAACATGATAAAGTTTCTTCGTTTTCACGGCTTTCAAAAATTCAAGAGGGTGACTTTCGTAGCTGCTGCATCTTAAAGGGGCACTTGCTACGAGATTTAAAAAAACTAGAATATGATTTTGTTTGGTTCAATCATTAATATAAGTGAAATGATAAAATAATAATTCGTTTTTAGCAACCAATTTTGGTTCAAATTTGTCAAAATAAGCAAAGGAACATTGCTGTTGAATTACTCACTTGCAAGTGAATAATTCGACCTCATTGAACCCGTATTCATGTGACCTTCAATTAAACCCAACAGTTAAAGATTGGGTACGCATGTATGAATCGTGATCAGCCATTAAAAGGAAAAGGAAGTCAACATTGAAAGTAAAAAACAAAGGTGAACCATTTGTTGATTCATTCGATTCACACACAGAAAAAAAATCATTCTTTTACAGGTAAAAACGATAATTAACTTTTTATTTAACCTATAAAATGAAATCGAACATACCTAGAAAAATCCAATTCCACGAGGTCGCTATTTATTTATATTTATGTTTATGTCGATCGACAGTCTCCGGTGGTCATCTCGAAAGTTATTAGATGGCATCTAGACTGAAATACTGATATACATTATCGAGTACATGAAGTGCTTATTGTTTATTTCAGACTTATTGTAATTTGAATATACATTTTAGAATGTTAAAAATCAAATATGAGAATTTATGTCAAATCGGTGAACGAATGTGACCTACCGAATTAGACTATTTACCGGATTTGTAATAACATAAGCAACACGACAGGTGGCACACGTGGAGCAGGATCCCTTCCGGAGCACCTGATATCACCCCCAGTTTTCGGTGGGGTTCGTGTTGCTTAGTCTTTAGTTTTCTATGTTGTGTCTTGTGTACTATTATTTGTCTGTTTGTCTTTTTCTTTTTTAGCCATGGCGTTGTCAGTTTATTTTCGATCTATGAATTTGACTGTCCCTTTGGTATCTTTCGCCCCTCTTTTACAGCGAGTGCGTCTTCAAAGTTTTCAAAGTTTAGACTTTTAATTAATCAATTTTTGAGAGATCGATAGAGTAGTATACCAAGACTGTTTTAACAAATCTTTTAAAATATAGGAATTTTTAAAAACGAAATTTTTTCATACTCATGTTTATTTAGTGCTTTGAACGTTCTCGACAAGAATGCTGTTCATTATCAGTTCACTTGTCAAATGTTTCGCTAAACTGTAATATGATAGTATTGTTATATTTCGTGTACATAATGTAAAATTTTGATTTGTTATCTTTTTTTCAACCACAGTGAATACTTATTATATAATAAGACATTCTATATTTTCTCTCAGGGACGAGTAAACAACTTCTATGTAATCAATGTGCTTAAATATTTTCTACCGCCTCTTCTTGTAACATATGGCAATTATAAAAATAAAAAATAATTGTGTTTGGTTTCGTGAAAATTGTATTATGCAATAATGTACTTACTATTCGAGTGGAAAATATAAAAGAAACGGAAATTCGACAGACGTTAACCGACTGATTTGAAATCAACATAAAATGCACATTCATCAAAATCGAAATTTCAGTCCTATTTTGAATTTTGGTTTGACAAATATTCTGGACACTCAAGCTGTATTAAAAGATTCTTCTACCACTAAGTGACCACCGTCATAAGGTTGGCTATAATGTCACTGTTTGATGTACGCTTGTTTAAATCAACAGGTCGAAAATTATTTTTAACGGAAAGAAAAGTGAAATTTGTGCTGTAGATAACGTTTATACATGGTGAAAATCAAAACATGTGCATGAAATAGTCTCTTGAACGAATCAAGGAATTTTTGTATCGTCACCAAGGCGGGTAAGATGCTCCAATCTCTTATTTTATATTTAGAAAAAAGTAAACGTTGGTATGTCTTGATAATCTGTCTGGTGGTATAAGTTGTCACCAATACCAATCACAACTGCCTCGTTTGAAATTTTGCTCAGCAGGGTTAACCTGGCGTTCTTTCTTCTCTCCTCTAGTGTTGGTCGTTGAAGCTGGTGTAGCATGAATTAAAATGATGATGTGTTGTGATACCTATTTGTTACATACCTTGTTGACGTTCTTGGAATCATTTCTTGCTTATGCTCGTCCCTTTGTAGGTGAGGATCCCATTCTTAATTTGCATATTAAACTGGCGGTATTACTAATGCTCTATTTGCCTTTTCCTTGATCTGACTGTTTGCTGTATTCAAGTTTCGTTTAAGGGATACTATTGTCCTGTTTATATGAGCTCCCCACTTTAGGTCAGATGTTTTGGTGTCTCCAAGATTTTTTCTGATGATACATGTTTTAAGTTATGTCCATGGAGCATATACTTTTGTGAATTGTTTCTTTCTTTTTATTGATTGGATGGACTACATATTTATCGGGATGGAACTGCATCATCCATATTTCTTCCCATGTGACTAGTTTGTTGAGATCTTTTTATAAACTGTTGGTTGCTTTCTGATGAGACAGTAAGAACAGAAAAGATGTCATCTACAAATACATGTAGCCTCACTGTTGACGAAATGTTGTCTGGCATGTCGTTGATACAGAAAAAAAAGAGGCTTGGTCCCAGTACTGGTCACTGAAGAACACCGGAATTTATGATGTCTGATTTCTTCCGTTGAAGGCTTCTGTGACAACCCGCTGTGTTGTTAAGATTAAATACGATTTTCGATGTTTAATTTGTATGATTTCAATATTTTTTTTATTTAGTCTGCTCATATTGATTGATGGTTTTATTGTCTGAGTCAGAATCTTCTTTTCGCGCAAAGTGTGAACATTTTTATTTAGTTTTTGGACACTATAAGGTATGGGAAAAATCTGGATTCTGAACAATTTTTTTGTCATCAGTTTGACCTCAATATATTTCATCAAATTGGGGATCACAATATTTTTTGAGGAAAAAGCCATACCCTCCTTTTCTTTTATATCGTTGGTCAATCCCTAAACGATCCGACACCCCTGTAAGAACGATTGTTGACTATTGTCTAGACGTTATATATAGAAATATATAGACTTATACTGAATGATGCACATTTTATTTTAGTATCTTCTAATTGGTGGCAGTATCCATATCCATATGACGTACTCTCTATAGCGTCATCACAAGCAAAACTGCAACAGGAAAATTTAATTGACAGTTACACAGAGAGCACAGAACAATCCTACGGTCATAGACGACTTAGAAACTGCTTGGATCCAAAGATTGGTATTTTGTTTAAAAACACTTCCTGACAAAATGAATTTATACTCCCTTTGGCACAAATTGCTCGTATACTCTGTCTTTTTCTGTTTTGTTTTCCTTCATATACTAGTATTGGCATAATAACTATAATTTTCTAGAAATCCCCCAATACCTGTTGATAAATAGAAAAGACTGCTTTGTAGTTTATCCCTTTGTTTTATTTGTAGTACTCGACTTGCACCGAATACTTTATTTCTTCAGGGAAACTAGGAAGAAAGGTTAGATATGGTTGTTCCAAGCGTCGCAATAAATCAAGACGATTGGATGGACTATGTAACGATTTTGAAAATCCAGCATCGGGAAGTCTTTATTATCGTTTTGGTGAGTTATTAGTACGGATTCTCATAATTACTTATATTGTAACAAATTTCGTTTTCACTCTTTTCGAACTTGTATACCTCCAATCAAGTAGATGAAACGATGAAAAAGATTTTAGTTTTTAAGAGGAGATATGCATGTGCGAGTAGATCACAATTTGCGCAGTATAAACTACATTTCCTTTAATTTGAGCATAGCGTCATTCCTGAAAGTTCAGAAAATGTGTGCTTTCGGTTTGTATAAATACTTTTACTTTACATTCGTTTCAACGGATATTTGTTTTCTCACTTAATCCCAATCTTATTAAAACATAGTTCTCTGATTTCGCTATGCTCATACAAGCACGCGAGTCAATGTGGATCAGTATTTTAATCAGATTGACTTAATCCATTCCTATGTTCTAGTGACTAGGTATCTACTTAGTTGGTAAGATTGCTTTTAACTTTTTCTAGTGTTAATATATTCATAACATTGCTTACTAGACACACAGCAACCACCAATTATAAACTGAAATTAGTTGTTTCGTCATTGGTACATAGTTCTACCGTTTCAGAAATATAAACACAATTTTGTTTCTTTCAATTAAGGCAGAAATGTTCCCCTAAATGCCACAGTTAGAGATGAGACGAATTTGTACAACCCTAATCCACGTGACATAAGTCGTACATTGATGAAGAGGAAGACCTTTATTCCTGTAACCATTGTTAATATCCTTGTAGCCGGATGGATACAGTTTATGACCCACGATTGGTTTGACAGTGGCAAAAACGACAGGCGCAGGTATATATTTTAGAAAACGTTTAATTTTTAATTAAGCTGAGGAAAAGGAAAGTTACCGAAATAGAAGTGAAGGGGAAACCTTACAAACTAACAAAAATATATTAAATACCAAGAAATGTGTTTAAAGCTAAGTGATTGAGTTCGAGCACATAATCTTATTTTTTTTTTAATAAGTTTTTCTAACACTCTCTGGAACTCTAGTCTGTGAAAAAAGTGTAATGCCTTATTGTAACATTTGTTTCCAAAAAGAAACGGCTATTTTTAGCGTAACTTTTTTTTTAATCAAATAACAGGAGCATTGAAAAATCATTTTCAACAACAGTACAACCAGATTCATTTGATCTTGAGATTACATATACCCCCACTTACAGCATACTCTTAAAAATATGTCTATTCTGTCAAAATTGAATTTGCATATTATTGTAAATGATAATGATATTGTCTTTAAAAGATTAGTCAAGTGGAATATTTATTATCACCCAGGGAAAATATTCCAAGTTCAAATTAAATTCAGGGGCTTAATTATTAATCAGTAAAATAAATGTCAATTCTGTCAAATTCAAACGCTTTTTTTGTAGTTTTATTGTTCTTGAATTTTGTAAGAATTGAAAAAGATTCTGTCGAGTGGTATGTTAGTATTGTCGTGCAATTTGAAAATATCTACGATAACCTGTATAGATCATGAAAATGTGTGAAAGCAAAAAGATTCATTGAAGTGGTACTTAAGTAATTATGAAAAAGTATAAGTATCTAAGATAATTATTGGGAATTAGTCCTATACGGTAACTGCCAAAGTAGTCAAAATCAAACTTGACTTTAAACTTTTAAATCATGATATTGTTTTAACATCGGAAAAGATTTGGGATAGTGATATTTAAATAGAAATCCGAAAAATGAAAAAAAAATCTAATTTTTAAGATATCTATATGAGATGTGTCTTGCCCGATAAATGTCAAATCCGCCTTAATCAAATTTGACTTTTAATTTAAGAATCATGACATTAAGTTGCATCGTATATTTGTAGACATTTAAAGGTTCCTATTCGAGATGATGATCCAGATTTCTATGATACAATGGACATACCTATGACCAGACGAGATAGCTGCAGAAATTCTAAAGATTACGATACATACCAAAATACTGTTACTCACTGGTGGGATTCATCACAGTTATACGGAATTACCAAACAAATAAATCGTCGTATCCGCACAAGAAAAGACGGCAAATTAAAACTAACTTCAAAAGACCGTCTACCGATTGATCCATCGACTGGATTGCCTATTACGGGTATGTATTTGTTTATCGCCAACAAATCTAGAACTTACTTCCCATGGTGTGGGCGGGGTTACAGAATGGCGAATAATGGTGGGGAGAAAAATAAGCCAATCAAATGAATAACGAATATCTAGAAAAAATGTACCAAAAAAAAAAAAAAGATTAGGGAATAATGGCAAGCTAAAATAGAAAATAAAATATGGAATAATTGTCAAATATAAAAAAAAATGGATAATGTCCCACTAAATTAAAGAATTCAGAATAAAGAATGAAGACCCTTGCTTAAAACCTCATAAAGGCCCGAATTGGAAATACTTGCTGAATATCAAATGAAAAAAGTTTAAATGATAGTTCCTGATCAATCACGGGTGTACAATGCGTCATGGTTCAAGCTGTACGTATAAAATCCCGATCTTCTTTTCTACAATTCTATAATTTTAACTTAGATACAATAATCGGCTCAACAACTGTTAAGAAACTTACAAAAATGCCACAAAAGAGATAGCAAACATACACATTTTGAACAATGATTATTAATCTTATATTTTAACCATTATGTACAACAAATTTACATTCCTGAAAATGTGAATTTTATAACATTATACTCATGATCTTAATTTTAGGAAGTTCCTTAAATTGGTGGGTAGGACTAGGTATATTTCATGTAATTTGGACGCGAGAACATAATTACGTATGTGATATGCTTAAAGAACGAAATCCAACTTGGAATGATAAAATGTTGCATAACACGGCTAGGCTCATAATTGCTGCAGTAATTGCTAAAATTCATACGCTAGAATGGACAACTGCTATCCTGCACAATGATGTTGCTAAGTTGGGGTTAAAGTCTAACTGGTATGGAGTAAGTCCTATTGAGATTGCAAGAGGAAATGCAACCTTAGCAACATGGTTAACCAAACAATTTCCACAGTTTGCTAATGGCGAACCGGGAGCTGTAGGTAAGCATTCTAGTACTTTTTATACAAGTCTTTGTATGTGAAAAACTACCAGAATATATCAAACAAATTACCAACAATTAAAAGAAAAGAAAACAACAAAGAATGTATATAAAATGGAGGCTCATATCATTTTCTTGCGTTTTTTCGGCTGTTGGAATCTTTAAAGGTTACTGTAAAATAAAGGAGGCATGTTAAGTCTGGTTAAAAACACTTTTTCAACTGCACATTGCTAGTAAACATACAAATGTTGGTGCCAACGATAATCATTTAATACAAATAAACAAGAAATAAGAAAAACAAATAAAATTCATAAAGAATTACAATAATTCTAAAAAACAAATCAAATATATATCCACTAACTGAGTTCCTGTGTTTTCAAACACTGAAGCAATAATGACATCGCATGTGTCGGGGGTTTTTGGTGTTATGTCTAATTGTATACGTTTTGTGTTTTGTCCACTGTTGGAGGCTGTAGAATGAATTATAGTTCATTGACATAATCATATCACATCTCCTATTTTCATAAATAGTAATGTAGAACATTTGAATTCGCCCTAGCTGAAAAAGGATCGTGACGAGATAATAATCTTCTGCTACGCCTGCATCGCCGTCAAACAATTCCAACACATCCATTTGTTACTGTCAAAAGTAGGGACGTGACAAAACCAGTAATAATGCTAAACTAACATACGTTGTGTGGACATATGGGAGAGTTATACATGTGGATTTAAACGTTTGTTTTTAGTTAAGGAATTCCCAACACCATTGCCGTCAGAGGCAATATTTTGGTCAGTTTAGATTATTTCCTCTGTAATTAAGAGTTAAACTTAACATGTTGTTGGTTATCACCTGTTGTACATGGCGACCACGAAAGCTTCACATTTATATATCCCTAATGAAAACATCTGGTAAATAACATGACCACAGTAAACACTTTTTTATTGTTTTAGTCATTTTTCATTTTTTCTATTTTCATCTTTTCATCTTATGGAAAATAAAATAGAAATCGTATTTGCCAAATAGTATGCTTCAATTGGTCATATTGTGGTCAATTTTAACTAAGACAAAGAAACAGTATGATTTATATAGGTTGTTTGTAGATCTAGTACATATATTTCACAAATGTTACAAAACTTATTTTATCTGATTTAGGAAACCCGAAAAACATTAGAGGAGTTCCATATTCTCTTACACAAGATTTCATTGCCGCATACAGATTACATCCACTTTTGCCAGATGAATTTGAAGTAAGAAGTCACCAAACAGATGAATTAGGTAAGAACTGATTCTTCAAGAATATAACTTTTTAAACAATAATTATAAATGCATGTTTTACATCAATCCATCATCACCTAGCTAAGATTTTAGACAATGAGAAACTGAAATAAGTCAAGTAATAGAATAAGGAGTACTTATTTATAGTTTTATAAATACGTTAATTATTTATACTATATTACACATATTATAGTTAACCGATACAACATGAAAGATACAGTATTTGAGAAGGCGGAGTCAGTTTTTGAAGAAAACTCAATGGAGAACTTAATCTATACGTTTGGCAATGATTATCCTGGCGCAATGACTCTCCACAACTATCCAAATTTCTTGAGAAATCTTGATCTACCCACTACAAGTCCTCATGGAAAAGGAAAAGTAGACATGGCAACAATCGATATATTACGTGACAGGGAAAGAGGAATCCCGAGGTGTGTATGTTTAATAGATGCAAAAAAAATTAAGAATGGAAATGGGGAATGTGTAAAAGAGACAACAACCCGACCATAGAGCAGACAACAGCCGAAGGCCACCAATGGGTCTTCAATGCAGCGAGGAACTCCCGCACCCGGAGGCGAGCTTCAGCTGGCCCCTAAACAAAAATGTAAACTAGTTCAGTGATAATGGACGTCATACCAAACTCCGAAATATACATAAGAAACTAAAATTAAAAATCATACAAGACTTACAAAGGCCAGAGGCTCCTGACTTGGG